GTAATTTTTCTTGAAAATAATAGAAGAACAAAAATCTTTGACTTGATTATTGAATATTTGTATATCTTTAGAATTACTTTAGTATTAACTAAAATTGTTTTAAATTTTTCTAAAGTTATGTTATTATATTTAATGGACTAAAGTATGGAAATATAAAAGTTAAATTCTTTATCATAAGTCATATTTTTATGTAGTAGAGGAGTTACTTGAGGACAAGTAACATGTAAGTTTTGGGGATTTTGATACACCAAAAATATAAGCATTTTTAGACCCATCTTTTATACTCATTTTTGGTGATATTGCACTTTAATGGAAGGTATTTCGATGTTTTCTTGCAGGTCATTGAATTTTAGGGCTTAAAGCAAAAAGGATGAATTTGGAGTCAAAATGACGTTTTTGAAGAAATACTCAGCGCTGACAGCGCCGCCGACTGACAGCGCCGACGACGCAGACCAACAGAATAAAAAGTAAATTTTACTCAGCGTTGATGGCGCCAGGGCATCGCGGACGGCGCCAATGTCGGTTCAGCCACCGATTCTAGAAGATTCGACATATTTGGACATTTTTTGAAGAGATTTTGGTGGCACCTATTGGAGAACTGACTTAAGGCTCAATATGGGGCCGAAATTCATCAGAAAAAGTGCTTCTTTTTTGTCATTCCTCGTTTTCATTCATCCTGCTACACGCCATACACTTTTCTATCTTCATTTCACCACCATTTTTGGAGTGAATTAGTGAGTTTTCTGTAAGAGTTTAGAGTTTTTGTAGTGAGATTGAGTATGAATCTTTCTCTAAGAGTGTTGGATAAGGGGAAAAGTGAGAGATATATTCTTCCCGCATTTTCTAGGAAAGGCTACAAGGAATTTGCTTTGAGAAAGAGTTTTAAAAAAGTGTTGTTTGTTTATTAGAGTTGTATGAACTTTCTTTAATATATGAAATTTATGTTTTGTTGTATATTTCTCATGAAGTATGAGTAGTCTCGTTTATCTTTCTCCCTACTCTAAGATATGGTGAAATGAAAAGATAACATGGATGTGCTAATATTAAAATATATAATAAATTGTGATGCTTTTTCAACTCCAAACTTAATTAACTTTTTGATATGGCAATTGAATTGTTAAAATGTGTTGTGAAACATATGATCCGAGAAATGAAGTATGATTTCTACAACATAGTGAAGATCACATTTGATTCCATGAAGGAGAAATTCGTTCATGGAATTAAGTGCAAATAAATAGGGAAATATACTTTGTTAGGTGTAGAATTAGAGAATCTTTAGGGTGACAGACTAAAATTCCCAATTCGATCTTAGTGTTTAAAAACTAAAGCGATAGTTAGCCTTCAGGTGAAGGGAAGTGGGAACTCTGGAGTGGGAGTCGGTATCCTCCTAGCATAGCCACGGATTTAGGGAATAAACTTGGGATTAGCCAATGATTTTTTATAACACTTATCAGGGTAGAGAATTAAAACTGCTCCTATTTGGCACAATATATATTATAAACATTTATCTTATAGTGAGAAAGATGTTTTTTCACATAAGAAATCTTCATCACATAAACATAGTTTAATAGTTTAATAGTTCAGTAGTTACTATTTAAACTTTGTATTTCAGTTTTGTTATTAGTGAAGTAATTTAGTTTTGATAATATCCCAACATTCGAAATTAGTGACAGTGATTTCATTTCACTTTCTGTGAATTTCCTAGTAAATTTATCACTTCAAATTTAAACCTTCCTCATGGGATCGATATTCGGGACTTAAATAGAAAGTCCTTTATTACTTGATAACGATACGTATGCTTTCACAGAATCCCAAAATTAACAATTTTCTATACTTATATAAATTTTACACAACTTTACTTTCTCGGGATCAAGTTTTTAGCGTCGTTGTCGGGGATTAAAATTTTCATTTCAAGTAGTGTGAAAAATACCATCAAAATTATTGCTATACTTTGCATAAGCATTAAGTATTCAGCCATCAAGTTTCTGGCGCCGTTGCTGGGAATTAAGATCTTCAAGTAGTGGTGTCAACTTCATATATCCTTACATATAAAAAATATTGGGATCAGCATACTTGCGTAGTATCCCAATATATATTAAGTTAAAAATTTAAATTCTTATTTTCTCCAGGATCAAGTTTTTGGTATTGTTGCAAAGTAAGGAAAGACAAGTGAAGAATATAATTAAATACATTGTTATACTATTGCATATAAACAGTCGGGATCATGCATCAATTACCAAAAATTTCTCTATGTTAGTAAATTGGTTGTCAACTTCTCCTCAGGTGGCGAATAACCCAATTATACTCAGGGGCACCTTTTGTTTGCTTGAAACCCACACAACGACAGATCGACGCAACCACCAATCGATCGATAGATGTCTTTTTTCAAAGGCTAAATTGAACAGTATGTATTCCAAGCTATCAGAATCAAACAAGGTACTACCTAACTGATAGTTATTTATCATTGTAGTAGCTACTATGGCATAATTTTTGGGATTTCTCACCGACAGATCCACATCATTAAAGATAATATGGGGATGGAGATTTCTCTTTGAAACAAAAGCAACAATGTACTATTCCCTTGATCGGAGCCTCTTACGATTCTGACTGAGTCTTGATTCAGTATAACAGGCACTATCCTTGTGATCTGAATAATGTTTGCTCGGAGGGCCTCATTCGATTGAACTTCTTTAGGGGCTTTCCCCTGCCTTTATGTTTGTGCTCTGGGAGATACAAACTCATTTAGATTTCTAGCCCAAATTAGCTCTTCGACCAGGCTTCAGAGATGTTTGCACTCCTCCATATGATGATCATAATTCTTATGATATTTGCATAATTTATTATATAGAGAATAGCATTGATTCTTATTTTTTAAGCCTTCTTGAAGTCTCTTTATCTTGAATAGACTCCTCCAACTTTGTCATTGAAACCATCACTTATGTGGGTTTCTATGTTCCTTAGTCTCCAGTTGATTAGTCGTTTGATCAACTCCGTCTTCAAGACCTTACGTCGGCCTCTTTATCACTAAAAGATGATTGGCCTTTTGCACCTTTGGGGTGTGGACCATGCTTCTCTTTCCACATGTCATCTCACAATTTCTTAAATCTGTGCGACAGTCTGATCTTTTGCTTTTTTTGGTATGGTAGGTGAACATAATCCTCCACCTTGATAGAATCATTGGCTAACTCCAAGAGTCTGATATGACTATCGAGTCATCATAAACCCATAAAGTATTAAAATTGTGCACTCCTTAACCCTTGTGCTAGGGCAGCCTTTCCGTTGCATGCTCTGGATTTTACACTTCCAACTTCTCCTTTTGGATTTGAGTGACATATGACTGAAGGCTCTCACTCGATCCCTGCTTGATGTGCCTTTGAGCCTCTGATTCCTTGTGAGGCTTTTTGGTGCTAGCAAACTATGCCTTGAATAAATTCTTGAAGTCACCGAAGGAAGTACTAATTCCTGTCGGGAGGCCATTCAACCACTTGAAGGCCAAATCCCCAAGTGTGGTATAAAATAATCAGCACTTTAGCGCATTAGAGACTTTGAAAAGACATATAGCCGACTCAAAAGATGTTATGTGGTAGGCCGGATCACTCCAATCCTTGTGAGGTTCCAAGGATGGAACCATGGATTTCCTGGGTGGCTCAACATCGATGATCTGTCGATCGATGTTAGACTTCCATTCATCCCTCTTAAAGCCCATCATTGTCTTTATACAAGAATTCTTCAACTAATTTGACCCCTGAGCCGTTTGATGGCCTTAGGGCTCAAGTGCTCGAGGGTTTGTTTCTTGAGGAGCTTGTGCTCTCTCCTCAAATCTAACAAGGGTCATTTATATCATTTGTCCAACTATTTGGTTTTGGAGTTTCTGAATTTTTTGCTGCACAAATTCTCTAATGAGCTCTGTGTTTGTGGTTTCTCCCAAACTGACTCCGAGATTCGTAACTAGCACCGAGACCATACTATATTTGTAACTGTTAAAAAAGAAAACACTTACAAACCCGCTGGTGTTGTCATTCAGCAGTATGACAATCGTTCGGTCAATTAGAGGGTCTTTAGTCGGCTACGGAATGTTCAGTCGGCCTCCCTGGGAGAGTCCTAGGTAGAGGCCCTCCTATCGTTAAAGTGAACCTGGACCATTAGAAAAAGGGTATATCAATCTGATATGACAAGAAACTCTCCTCAGACAAAAGACATTCTAAGAAGATTGGAAAAATCCAGGGGTGCTCTTTGTTCCTCTCTGTGAAAAATCTCGAAATCATTCAAGGGAGCTACCTGTAACTACCTACCCTTTGAATTGATGCTTCTTGATCTTTGTTCAGCTAAACTTTCATTTAGTCCGCTCATGCTTTCGACCTACCGGAACGATGCTTGACATCTTTATCTTCAACTATTCAGATATAGTCTTTTAGTATCCTTTTAATTATATTCATTAAATTTTTTCGAGATTTTTACCGTCATATTTTTTATGCAGAGAATGTATGTGTGAATTTAAGATTAAATTTACTCAAAATTTTAAAAACAATTACAACATGTTTATGTGAAGGATAAAATAAAAATTTTGCATGTTATTCAACTCCTTGCCTCCGACGCAACGAAAATTGCGAAAAATGCCCGCTTACCATCCACCAACTATAGCAACAGCTCGAATGGCACGTCGCAGCAGTTTCCTATCCATTTGGACACGTGGATATCCATATGAGCTCCACGCCTCCTCTTCCTTCAAAGCCAAGTCACCTAATAATGACAGCGATTCTCACCGGCCACCCAACAAAATTCTTAAATAATCAACTCCTACGTTTCACCCACTTTTCCACCACGGGACCCGACCCGATTTGACAGAATCTGATACATGTGTGCGAAGTTTTTAAGTCACCATAAATTTTGTAGCTTGGTCCAAATTTATTTCATATTTACATTCCAGTATTCTTATTTTGCACTGCTTAACGATTCGTATTCCTCTAATCGCTTTGACTATATAGGTTGACCCGCGCCGCTGCTTTGCCCCATTTCATCAAACAGTTTCTAGGCATCTCTGTTACCTGTAATTCATCTAGGTTTTGTGAGTAGTATGGAGAACGGAAGATTGGAGTCTTCTTTCTGGAACTTCAGTGACCAGCTTCGGCTCCACACGGCTGGCATCGGGAGCCTCTCTCTCGGCGACAGCATATGGTCGGATCCCTTTCTATCCGCTACCGGACGTCGCCCAGAGGATCGCCGAAACACTGAATCCACCGGTGAGGCCGCGGCCATGGAGATCGGATCCACAAGCGTTTGGAAGATGGGACTAGATCTTCCCCAGAAGCTTGCTTTTACTAGCCCTAACTCGAATAGATACAACAACAGTAATAACCTTGGAGGTCTCGGAGTTGGTGTCAAGAACTCTAGGGATTTCAGTAATGGTGAGGTAAAGACTTATTTCAGCAAGGCAATTGGTCGGCCGGCGGCTAATCACAGTAATGGTAGTGGTGTTCTGGGAGGCGCGAAAAAGGGGGTTTGCAGTAACAACGAGAGTGGTGGCAAAAGTGGGAAAAATAAGAAGAGCGGCAATAACAGTTGCAAGGATGGTAACAATAACAATACGAATTCTGTAGATAAGAGGTTCAAGACTCTGCCGCCATCGGAGGCTCTCCCTCGGAGTCAAACGGTAGGAGGTTACATCTTTGTCTGCAACAACGAGACCATGGAGGAGAATCTTAAAAGGCAGCTTTTTGGTGAGTTCTGCAACTATTGCTGCTTTTTTTCTTAGAATTTTAACATGATTTGTTTCGGATTTCTGGTAAAGTACTTTTCTTTTTTGTTTGGTGCCAATACTTTGTTTTTTAAATGTGAAATTACATGTCAAAATTGTATCTTTCAGGCCTTCCTCCACGATACAAGGACTCTGTAAGAGTTATAACTCCGGGGTTGCCTATTTTCTTATACAACTACTCAACGCATCAACTTCATGGAATTTTTGAGGTATGGCACTTGAATTCCAGTATGTATGACTTTCTATAATGTTTTTCATACCTTATTAGCTTTTCATTCTGTTGCTGATTCGTTATTATGATCCAATAGGCTGCTACTTTTGGAGGAACAAACATCGATCCTACTGCTTGGGAGGATAAAAAACATCCTGGAGAGTCTCGTTATCCTGCTCAGGTATAGAATAGAATATTTGTGTTCTAGTAGCTCAACTAACCATAAGATTTGCATATTATGGTTTCTAATTCATTTGTGTGTAAATTTTATTTTTCCAAGTTAAATTTAAAACAACTTGCAAGGCCTAACATGAAGCAAATATGGAAGGATTTGTAAAACTGATCTGTTAATGTTTCAGTTAAAACTGCTGCTTTCTCAAATTCGAAATGTTTAATATGCTTCAAAGATGGAATTTTTAATTCGAAATTTTCTTGCTGACCTTCCTTGTTTCAATTACTGTTCCATGTCATTCACCTTTACAATTAGTTACCCTGCATTCCCTAGATGTTCATCTCCATTAAATTTAATCTTTGTTACATTTTTTAAAATTATTTCAAATGTCTCTTATTTTTTCTCTAAGCAATTTATTGCTATTTTTGTTCTTTCAATGCAGGTTAGAGTCATAACTAGGAAAAACTTTGAACCTTTAGAAGAAGATTCATTCAGGCCCATTCTCCACCATTACGATGGCCCCAAATTCAGACTTGAGCTTAGCGTACCAGAGGTAGAATGCCAATTGATTTTTTATTTATTTATGACAAAGCAGTGAGACAACTATTAGACATTGAGACGAGCTAACGCTATAAAAATTTCTCAATGCAGGCACTGGCCCTTCTAGATGTATTTGCGGAGAATAATGATTGAGAAGTTGGTGAGTGGAGTTGAAAGTTAAAGACAATTGCCCTTTATCTGATTATATATATCCATTTATAGAGAAATATTTGTGTACATAAGATGTACGCAGCGCTGCGTACATCAGGGGTTATTCAGGGGGTACAATGGGGTTATATCTGGATTATACCCCCTTGTAACCTCCGGTATAACCCGAATATAACTCCCCTGTACCTCCAGAATAACCTCTGATGTACGCAGCGCTGCGTACATCTTATGTACGCAAATATTTCACCCATTTATACGCTAAATGATTTGATTACGAAAAAAAAAAGAAGCTCGGAAAGCAGTAGTAATGCTTGGTAGTGTAAATGTTAAAAGAACAGGTGTATATCTTGGTTTAATTATCTAAAGATAATAATAATAATAATATATCAATAAAGAGAGTTGATTGTGCTTTATTGTGGATTTTTATGTCCGTATGCATGATAAATGTTGAATATGTGATTGTCTGAAGTAAAGAGAGAGAGAGAGAGAGATGGGAGAAAAATAGTAATGAACAATGAAAAATGTTTCCTCTATTTATTTCTTTTTATTGGAAAGATAGTAAAATAGGTGGTCCCCAGCACCAACAATATCATAACAACAACCGAATGGCAGCAGGTGAGAATATAACATCTAGATGATTCCATATGATTTGTCTAAACTTCCTGTGCTATGTAAATAATAGAAACAATTAATGAAAGGTCATTTTTCCCTTTAGATTTCATCCCTGTCAAGGGAACTCCTTCCCTATCTTTATCTTTATGGTATCAGAGACTATCTAGGAGATGAGGAATATGCATCCCTATCTGGTAAATCATTTCCATCATCCCCTCATGTCTGATACCTCCATCTTGCCAAGGTAAGAATCAACAATATGCGAAACCCAAACCCCACTCATATCGACACAGTCCATCAACATACCCTCTTCACTCGAGTTCCTCACCTCTCTCCTAAAACAATTCTCCCAAAATTTTCTTACACATGCTATGTACAATGTATGGTATGCCCACATTCTAAAGATATTTATGGCAAATGGCTTTGTCAGATTTTTTGATGACAGCAATCGGTGTCCCCTACAATTTGACGGGAATAATCCCGAGGGAATTGAAAGCCCCCAATTCCAACCATGGACTCTTATAGATCAATTCCTAGCGGCCTCACTATACTCCACAATCTTACCCACTGTTATTTCTCAAATCAATAATGTCTAGACTACCACAGAGATTTGTGCAGAGCACATATTACAACCTATGAACAGATCTAAGGTGATTCAGCTAAAAAATGAATTGCACCATATATCCATGAAGGATCAAACTATAACACATTGCCTAACGGAAATTTGACCTCCGGTGAATCACATCACTATTGTTGGATCCAAGCTGAATCAAGAAGATGTCATCCTTTATATCTTCAATGACCTTCCTCTAACCTACAATTCTTTCAAAATGACCATTCTGATGACACTCCAACTTATAGCTCTGGATGACCTCTACACCCTTCTTTGCAGCGAGGAGATCAATATCAACAATGAAAATGCAAAGCAACTCCCTACCACCAAAACTCGCATGGTGCTTAATGCATCCCAATGGCGCGACACACTTCACTAGAGTGAGAATAAATTAGCCAACAAATCAAAGATGAGGCTACTCTAATGGTTCGCATGGAGGAAGGAAACCAACTCAATCCAACATAACATTCCAAAAAGGCTATAAAACCGACCATTTTGCATCTATATGTTGTTATAGTACTAATCACAAATATGCACCCACAATTCCAGTTCAAACTCTCAATCCTACCTCTAAGGAATGGATTCTAAACCCAGGAGCAACCGCACACTTCACATCTGACCTTAGTCAACTCCAACTAGCTACAACATACCATAGGACCGAACATTTCTTGGTACGTAACAAACAGGTTGTTCCAATTCAGCACAATGGTGATAGTCTCCTTCCCACTCCAAATCGTAGCTCTTTCAAATTCATTACGATACTCTAATCTCTCATAATCTCTTATCTATTCATAAAGTAACCAAAGACAAATATGTCATTGTGTCTTTTGATCCTTCTGGCTTTATAATTTCTAATCCTCAAACTCAACAGATACTTCTCATGGGTACTAGTTCTAGAGGACTACTCCACTCTTGCACCTACTTATCTACCATAAGCATCTACTACATCTCTCTCCAAAATATAACAAGCTAAATTGTGGGATCGACGCTTGGGTCACCCACATTCAACCATTTTGGCTGTCATATCCAAACACAATCTCTTATCAACCCATCCAGTTCAACTTCATGCATCACCTGCAAACTTACCAAGTTACACAAATAGTCTTTTGTATCTAGCATAGGACAAAAATAATAAACAACTAGAATTTATTTATAGTGATGTATGAAGTCCTTCCCAATTATCTCTTATCAAGGATATAGATATTAAATTTTGTTTATTGATGACTTCTCTAATCTTTGTTAATTTTTTTTCTTTGTGTAAATAATCTAAGGCCACAAACATCACTACAAATTTCCACCAACACCAATTCAACACTAATATCAAAATTCTTTGATTTGATGGTCAAAAAGATTGCAATAACGCTACTTTAAATACATTCCTCAGTGGCCTTGGCATACTACATCAATATTCATTTCCCTAAACTCATGAGAAAAATGGAGTTGTCGAAATGAAACATTGGCACATCATTGAGACAACTCGGGACTTACTACATTAATCACTCCTCCGTTACATGTTTTAGACCGACAGCCTTCTCACTGTCATACACCTCATTAATCGAATGTCCACAAAAACCACATATCACATATCGCCCGATGAATACCTTCACCAATCCTCCCTGTCCTACACCCATCATTAGGTTTTTAACTGTGCATGTTGCTCAATGAGGAAGCCCAAACATCTCACAAAATGAACCAAGATCAGTACAAAGCATTTTCCTAGGTTACTCACTTCAACATAAGAGTTATAGATGCTTACATCCAACTACCAACAAAATCATCATGTCCTGCAATGTAGTCTTTGATGAGCATATATTTCCACTTCATACAACATCTAATACCCCTCCGGTTATTTAACATCCTACCACCTTTCTCATTCCATCCTCCCACTTAACACCTACCACTTACTTATCCCTACGATCCAACCTTCTCTTACTCCACCAATGCTCTTCTCCACATCTTCAATTCAAACTACTACTACTACATTTCCTCCAACGACTAAATCAACTACCCAATTGAATCTACTCAGTTCCAACCCACCACCATATCTCATGATAACTTGCTTCAAAAGGGAACCCTCTAACCAATCCAGAAACTCAATCTATACCACCAAACTCAGTCACTTCCTGATCCTACCTCCTACACTCAGGCCTCTAAACATTCTCATTGGCAAAATTCCATGAAAGATGAATTTAATGCCCAGAAATAAGGAACATGGGTCCTGGTGCCCCCATGCAAACGAAGCAACCCACTGCTACAATCTCAAGCCTTTCATTCCACAACCTGACATTCTACCGCCAGCTGTCAGAGGCACCTCAGCACCTCACCATCACACGACCAGACATTGCCTACACAGTTAATCGCCTCTGTCAGCATATGCGCTCTCCATTATAGATAACTACAAGCACCTTACTTATTTGCTTCATTACCTGGAAGGTACAAGTCATTTTGGTATGAAGATTGCACCAGGGAACCTTCAACTCACATCATATGTGGATGCCGACTGAGCGGGTGATCACTTCAAACGAAAGTTCACAACCAAGATGTGTTCATTTCTTGGTGAAATTTTTATTTCCTGGCAAGTGAAGAAACAATATACTATCACTCGGTCCTTCCCTGGGGCTAAATGTCGTGCATTAGCCACTGCTACGACTATTATCTTATGGCTTTGATGCCTTATTGTGAAATTTGAAATTCCTATCATATAACCAACACATCTCTATCGTGACAACATCTCTGCAATAACCCTGACCAACAATCCTATATTCCATGAAAGGAGCAAACACATAAAAACTGATCACTACTTTCTCCATGATCACATTAACCTCAATAACATTCAATTTGAACACATTCAATTTTGACAACAATCAGCTGACAACCTTACAAAAGCTCTCCCTAAACATCAATTTCAAGATCTTAGTACTATGCTTATTATTCTACCAAGAATCATCAGCTTGCAAGAGGGTATTGGACATAACACCACTATTAGTGGTCCCCGACACCAACAATATCAAAACCACAAACGAATGACATCAGGTGAAAATCTAGAAGGAACTCTAGAAGATTCCACAAAACCTATACATACTCCTTGTACCATGTAAACGGTAGAAAAGATTAATGAAGGTTATGTTTCCCTCTAGCTTTTATCCTGTTAAGGGAACTCCTTCCCTGTCTTTTAATGAAATTACATTTTTTCGCACATTTGGAAAAAGTATGTAATATGTTATTTATGGCACTTTACATGTGTAGTCTTATCATATGGCCACCTTCTGGCTCAGCAGGTTAAGCTTAGTTGACTTCTGGTCGACAGGTGACCATGGTCAGTGTGGTCTGGTCGGTTGATCCAGCCTGGTTGACTATCCTCAGTCCAACAAGAGCTTTTGGAGTCACCATGAGATGGTTGAAGATACTTTGTGGAACTGGATCTGCCTTTAGATTGGCTCCATTGGGCATAGGCTATCACATAGAGTTGGCTTTCCTATAACAATTGACTCCAATATTCTTTCATTTCATTTTCGGTTGGATGACTCGTGCTTAGATTATTTGGTCATCTTCTTATTTGTCTGGTGGCTCAGTCAATTTTGGGGAACTGAGGAAAATTAAGGAAAATATTTTTTATTTCAATAGAAAAAATATTTTTCAAAAATTAAATAGAAAAATATGATTTAACACTGCCGTTGCCGGTCCCAAGCCCGGATGAGAAAAGTGGAGGGTTGCGTTAGGTAGTCGACAGCCAGCGTAAAACTTGTCGAAAAAATCATGACATGAATCCTTTTGATCATTGTGTAAGTGCTAGGGCGTCCCCTGGAAGCGACGCGCTGTATAGCCTGAATACAGTGAAAAGTGTGCAAGGGCCGCTACA